CTTCGCATACAAAAACGTGATCACCGTCAGTTTTTGCAAAAAAATCGCACGCTTAATAAGGAAATACCGCGAGTAAGTTATGCAACTTTTCAATTGGTGTATCATTGAAAAGTAGTGGAAAACGGGGACGCATTTGGCTTCCTGTGACTTTTTTATGCTCAAAACTGCAGAATCAAAGAACGCACTGATGGCAATACCGTAAAGTGATTTTCGTAAATATCTCGAAGATTGGAAAAAGCGCAGAGCATGATTGTATCTATCTGACGGGGCTTGCCTTGAAGAGCACAAAATGGATATTGATGAAGAAATCTTATATTTTCAATAATATAATTCCCTTTGTTTTAAACATACCTCGTACATCAGAAGAAACAAGCGGATCTCAGATTTTCTTGTTCTTAAAAGTGCACTGCTGCCGTTGCATTGTTGCTGTGTGAAACTTTGCGCAACTTTTTGTACATTTGTGTGGCGCATAAATATACAGCACCTATACATATATATAAATCTATATAATAATTTATATATACAATATATTCACATACAATATATATACAAAAAATGTACATTTATATATTTAAAATTGTGTTTATATACTTTTAAATTTTTGAGCGCCTAAATGTATATTTCAATTCGTTTTATTGTCCGTGGTTTTTAAAAGTGTTGTCTTTAAATGTTTGAATATCAACTTAAAAACAATTAAGTCTTAAGTCAATCATTGCTGGTGCATGAATTTATAGCAGTTTTCATTGCAAAATAAAAAATTATTATTTATTTGCCTTCAAAGATCTCACTAAAGTTTCATAAATATTTCTGTAGTGGTAAGCTGCTCAGCAGTGCATTTAAATGAAATTAAATATTTTTCTTATATCTTTTTCTCTTATCTTCTATTATTACTTTTACCCAATGCATATAGAATTGAAAAATAATTGCATAATCACTGAGATATCCCTCTCTTTTCACTCAAATATAGACCAAAACTTCTAAATGTGGTAGTAATAACACGTCAGTTTGGGTTGTTGTAGGTAGAAAAAAATTTAAATAAAATATAAAAAAAATTATAGTTTTGAAGTAAAGTCTGTCAGCATAGAGAAGCTAAGCACAATTGTGAAATTGAATATTTGAGCAAAAGAGCAGAGACAAGTGATATTGTTGATTTTTGTATATGGCAAAAAATTAAAAGAACTATTAACTTACAGCTGATCAGTACTTCAAAGTTAAAGAAAATAGTTTTAGTAAAATATTTAAATTTGTGAAGGATATCAAATTTTAAACGTATTTTTCAAGAGAATTAAATTTTAGTTCTGAGCTCACTTTATTATGAGCATATACATACAAGATTTCTATTTATAAATATTGTATATATTTTTTATTTATTAAAAATTTGTATTAAATTAATTTTCAGTATTTTACAACATCATGAAGCACTTCTAAGAAAATATGTTTTCATTTAAAAGATTTTTGAATATATTTTATTTATTTATTTTTTAAAAATAAATTTGAAAAATCTTGTTTAATTACGCTTAGGTATATATATACATTTCTATTTGTGAGGTGAATAATTTAATAACTAAAAGATTATAGCATATTTATTAAAGAAGATTTTTTTATGAATTCGGTATTAAATATATTTACTTGAATATATATGTAAAGAGTACCAAAAATAAAGAAAAACTAGTTGATAATGCTTTCCAAAAAGATACATATTTTTGATACGAATATTGCCAAATAAAATACCTTTAACCAAAGAAGTCGCTCAAAAACATGTACAAGTTGCTAGAAAATGTCGACTTCAAATTTCTGATGCTTATTCAGCATCAAAATATATTATATTGTATATAATATTATATCGGAAAAATTTTTTCAAATTATTTCCTTAAATTATTTGCCTAAAGTCCGAACTGAACAGAAAGTTGACTTAGTTTTAATTTTTTTAAACTACTTCCAGGGTAATTTAATATTCGGGCTATATACCAAATATCTGAGAATATTCTGAAAGAGCTTTTAAGAGTAGGTCACCCTAATGGAGGCATACATTTAGGCAGACATTTAATGAGTTTAACAGGCTTTGGGTATGAAGAAATTCATAAAGATTGTGAGGAATTTCAACGAAAAACAATTTTGACTGACGTTGAACATTTCCAACTCGACGGCTTCATCATAAGAAACCCAACTTGCTCAACTTGTAACTGGTGCTCTTTGGATCATAGTTTTTCAAAAATGAACTGATTGCACTATTTGCAATTGGATGGTATCGATCTGGATCAAGTTTAATTTCAACATGACCAAACCAGCAAGGAAGTCATTGATCTTTTAGGAAAAACATTTTCAGACCGTGTTTTCTCTTGAAGAGGTGATCGCAATTAGTCGGTCCGATTGAACACAAATAAAATGGGAACGAGCGTTCACTTGACTTGCACTCTAGTTAAAACTATAAGCGATAGCGAGTAAAAGAGTTTGAAATGAGCGGACATTCTTCAGTAGGTCTGAAACAGCAGTGGCAATTTTCAGTTTCCAAGCTGCAAGGAATACAATAGTTCTCTTAAACGATGAAACGTTAAAAAAATACGAGGGAGAGTCTCTTCACAACTAGTTCGAAAATGCTCTCCGAAAAGAAGGAAACCAAATAATTTACGATATACGCTAGACTAGTTTGAAAATCTTTCACGGCGAAAGGACGGTAAGTTCGAACTAAATAAATTTTTGCTGTATATAAATTAAAAAAAAAAATGATCAGAAATCATTCATACTCAGAGATTAATTTATAGCATACGATTTGTACTGAAGATTATTCGACTTCAGAAATTAAGTATCAACAAAAATCGGCATAAAAACAATAATTTCGCACTCTCTCAGTGGAGCTCTACATCTTTTAAACAACCTTTTTATAAACTCGCGCTGAATTCCACATCAGTTTCTTTGAATTAATTTATATTTTTGGGGTTTATTTACTGCTGAAGTTGCAAGCATATTATTTGCCTGAAAATATGCTACATATTTTCTAAAACTAAAACTAAAACTCAAGCAAAATAATTCATTAGATTAAATTTAATTGAAAAAAAAGTTGTCTCCATTTTATAGCAAATACACGTAAAGTTCGAGATTTTCTCGCTTTAAGCATAAAAAGCAGCAAAGTGTACCCCAAATTCAGTTTAAGCATGACAAAACCTTACGAAATGCCCACTTATAAAGTTTTTATTTTTTTTTTCTGTGTAAATAAAAATATTACTATCTAACAAAGCATCTCTTTACCGGCAGAAGATAATGCGGATATAATCCTAAAATATATTTTATGCCTTGAAGACGATTAAATATCCATTTTCACTGAACTTTTTATACATAATTTCAACTTCATTATTACGCCATGCTTTTAAGGACATTTTAATTTAAACGTATACTTTATCAAAGGATTGTGTTGATTTCGCTTAGCAAAGAACAAAAACAAAATTTTACAATTAAGAACATTTACAACTAAAAATAAATAATATGCCTTCTATTGTATCTACATACAAATAATGTATTACAAGGTATATGCCTGCAATGGTAAACAGCCGAACTGCTGCTGATTTCACAAAGCGATTTCGCATAATTATTTCCAACTGTGCGCTCCACAATGGACATCAATGTGATTTTGATGAACCAACACAGCTGGCATGTATATACATACACACGTATGTATATATATATATATGTATTGTAGCTAAGGATATACGATAGAAGCTGCCAGGTATTTGCTAAAAGCGAATCAACCATGAATACAGGCAACAAGAAAGATTAAAATTACGCTTAAATATGACTGTATAGCTACTTACTATATACTCACGCACATTCACGTACATACATGCCAGTAGATTTCTGTATAATTACGTACTATATATAAGTAAATGTAGTTTAGAAGCAGTCGGTGAGTGATTTACGATATTCATTTGAAATTTAAATTAACATAATGGTCGGTCGTCGTCATCTCTGCAAGAGAGAGAGAGAGAGGGACAGAGGCCGGGAACGGTTGAGCCAGTTTAGGTAAGTTAGTAAATAACTGTATAGCAGCTACGCAGCCTGTGGCAGTTAGCCATCAAGCTTTAGCTCATCAGGAGCAGTCGACAGCCGGCAGCCGGTTTGTTGAGTGATGCTCGAAGCATCAACAAGGACAATGCGGACAGGCAAAGGTGTGAACAGGTGTATGGGAAATGGGAAAATGGAAAAATGTGTGACACAACGGGTGAGAGTGAGAGAGAAAGAGTGAGCGGAAGAGTGGGAGGGCCTCAAAACTAAATTGTTGCAGAGTTGTTGTAGGGTGCCTTTGATGCTTGCTGAGCTCGGCGTGCGGTAGTTTTATGCATATGTAATTAAGCAGCAGCAGTTGAAAGCACGAATAAAGTACAAACATATACATATCTATGCGTATTTCAAATTGCCGAAAATCTTTAAATGCCTCAACATAAAGTGCATGACAACGTTTTATTGTTGCTGCCGCCAAAAATTTGTTGCTCATGTTGATTGATGTTTATTTTCGGCACAGCTGCGACGACAATAAGAAAACCGAATTAAAATAAATGCGTTAAAAAAGCAAGAAACACGCGCAAAATGTGCGCTAGTGTTGAGGTGAGTGCACAAAGGAAAAAATGGCGAAATACAAAATTCAACGTTAGATATTTTTGTTCCTTTATCAACTATACGTATGCTTGCGGCAATTTGGTGGAAAAAAGGCGCAGCAGATAATTTATTTACATGCAAAGTAAGTAACTAAGCAGCAATAAACACATACATACAAACCTACGATGGCTATAATTCACACAGCTTTTTACGCGCCAGAACAAACACACTCGCATAAAATACATGTAAAGACGCTGTACGTCATTGCAACAAATTTTATGTAGTCGTCAACAATTCTGCCTAAGCTGTTGTGGATTTGCATACGAAAAACATGATAAAGTAACTGTAGTTCTATGCCAAAAGAAAAAGAAAAAACACTAAGCCTAACGTCGCTTTTACGCGAGCTTACTTACCTTCATACACATACACTCGTGCTTATTTATGTATGTACTTGTTGCTTGCGCTGTTGGTTAGAGGTGGCTCATAGCTGTGAGCGTGTTGCAAGTAAATAATTTTTTTTATTTATATTTTTTTAATTTTTTTTTGTTTAAATTTATTTACTGCGTTTTTTTCACTACTTGTTTGTTATATTATATTGATTGTCTGCTTTCGCTTGGAATTTCACTTTTTACTTTTTTGTTTGTTTATTTATTTTTACATTTCCTTGTTGTAAACAGTTAATGTAATTTACAGTAATTTTAAGTAATGCCGATTGACAGCTGCATTAACAAACACGACGCATAATTGAAATTGAGTTTTATATGCATTTACACACACATACATATATACTTTTATATGCTTGCATAAATATTTATTTCGTTGCTGTTGCTTTGCTTTGTGCGTCAATATCTATACATTGCCACTCTAGTGTCAACAACGAGCTTTTGCCAAATACAGATATTTATTTTGTTATTGTTTTATTTTTATTTTTAATGAATTAAAAAATTTCGGATGCACACTTGAATATTCACTTATTAGGCAAATGCATAAAGTATTTCATGCACATAAAATCGTTCGGAAATTATTACGTTAATGTCAATATTTAATGTTTTTCTTTAAATATATTTGTTATTTTGCTGTAAAAAATCTAATCAAAGTTGATGCTATTATATTAAAAATATTAAATAAAAATTATATATAAAACTATACAAAAAAGTTTTTTTCGGAAAATATGCTTTGACACACAAATTAGCGAATTAAAAGATGTATTAGAATTTTTCTTATTCTTGTAATTATTTATTTTCATTAAAAGTGTTTACCTGATACATCGGTTAGGTTTCAACCAGGGAGTATCAGTTCTTTTATCTGTTAATAATTATATTGATTCGTATATTGTTATTTCTGCAAACTAGTTAACTTATTTTTTTTTACTAAAATTTAACTAAAATAAAAACAAAAATTTATACATATTTTTTATGGCATACTATTTTTTTAATAAATCTCATAAAGGCTCTTTCTTGCATTTTTTTTACTATATCGATTACTATTCAATCACTAAACGCCTATTAAAATTTCTTTTAAATGTTTCATTGCATTTTATTTCTTCTTAATTATTTGATTTTCTCTTTTCATTTCTTTTTTGGAATTTTTTTTAATAAAACTTTGTACAATAAATCGATATTTTTTGTAATTTTTTCATATCTTTTTTTTGTTATCATATATATAGGCGTATAAGCGTAAGTTTTTTAAAAAATTTTTTTATAATTATTTTTTTTTTTTTAATTTTTATTAAGTTTTTATATTTTCTAATTGTAAGGGTAATCGTTTGTTTTTTATTTAAATATTTTTCATTGTTATTTCTTTGTATGATTGTCATCTGTTTATTATATCTTCTGTTTATAAAAGTTATTGAACATTTATTTATAGTTATCTTTTTTTTCTTGTTGTTATTTAATTGTTACAATTAACGATGATACCGGCTTTCGAATTTTCTTAATTTTTAGGATATTTTAAAAAAATTTTAACTTTTTATTATATATATTTATTTTTATTTATATAACTGATATTGTTGTTATTGTTATTTTCCTATTATAATTTTTTTTTTTTTTTACTTTAGAATGATTTTTATAATTATTTATTTTTGTTGTTGTTATTTTTATTATATTTTTGTAATATATTCGTTTATTTTTATTTTATTATCTTACATACATTTCCGCTTATATTTTTTATTAATTATTTTTTTTTTGTTTAGGAATATCTACGATTTTTTTTTGCAACTAACTCAGAGAAGAGAAAATGCTCCAATACATAGTTGAAGCTGCACGAATGACATTTCTATTGAATTTTTGACTGGTAGAAAATATTATTCAATGAAATCTTTTGTGTTAATTATTTCATATTTTAATACTGATTTTCTATTTCTGTTTACGGTTTTTTTCATTTTTTTCAATTAACTTTTGGCTTCAAGTATAAAACCAGAAGCTTTCTTTGTATATTTGAATTAATTTAATATTTAATTTTATACCTTATAGAAAAATTTTGCTTCTATCAATGTTCAAAAATAAAAATATTTATTTACTTTAAAACTTTAAACAAAAAAATCCTTAATTTTTTTTATATTTGGATTTTTTGCTTATTTTCAAGAAAAACATATTTTCTGATAATTTTTAAATTCTTTCTTGCAATTCAATACTAAAAAAATAGAAAATTTTAAGTAAGTACATTTGAGAAAACTACATTATATTACAATTAGCATAAAAAAAATCGAAAGCACTGAGCTTACTTTAACAAATGCATATTATTGAAGAAATGTAAATATTTTCTAATAATTTTTTTTTGCTGTCACTGCTACTGATTCATATATATACATGTATTACAAAATTTCCAAAATTGAATTTTTAAATAAATACAAAATTAATGTATGGAAAAATTGCTTCCTGTGTCTTTCCACTGTTAGGAATACTACTTTTTACTCAAAATACTTAATAAATTTAGGTAGAGGTTTTGCTGAGTAAAAGCCAAAAGCAATTTTTAATTTTTTTTTTATTTTTATAACTTTATTTAAAATCAATAGAGATTACTGCTATAAGAACTAAGTTATTAAGTTTGATGTTTTAATAAAAAATACTTAAATTCTTGTAGCAAAAAAGTCAGCTTTTCACATTAATTTAAAATTTTTTTAGTATTTTTTTTTTTTAGTAAAATTTATTATACAGTTTTACATTATATAATTTTATTTTTTATTTTATTTTCAATTATGCCATATTTGTGGATTAAAAAAAATTAGAATGCATGTAGACAATTATAAAAAAACTCTTGATGCAATAAAAAATTCCAAATAAGAAGGAAAGAAAACAATATTATATGGCAAGAAGTGGCAGGCGCATTTTCCTTTCAAGTGGAAGATAACCGTCATTTCGTTGTATATCTAAGTTTATTTTTGGCTTTTCACGTGAAATTGCATATCAATTAGTTTTTTTTTTGTTGTCCACCACAACCACACGCTTTTAAAATCGCAACACACTTCAACAACACTTTGGACGAACAGTCAAAACTTGTTGCATTGCTGCCAGGCAGAGTTCGTTGCACGCACACTCACGCAACGAGTTTCACCTCGCAACAGTTATGTGGCAAATATACGTATATATGCACGAGCTTGTCACGCTACAAACCGCCAAAGGTTTTTAAGACAAAAGATTTCGTAGTTCTCAAGTTTTACTTAATACTAACACACACACACACGCACGCACACACCCATTTAATATAATCGTTTTAAAATTATTTTATGTTTTTTTTTTATACTTTTCACACTTTGACACAATTTCGTTTAATAATGTTTTTTTTTTCATATATGCCCCGATTTAAAACAAATACATACACATACCAAAAAAAAAATACAACAAATTCAACGCATACGTACAACACGAAAATACTCTGCGTTTGCTGCTATTGTGGTTGTATTGGATTTAAGTAGAAAAATCGTCAAACGTGAAAAACGAGAGGAGCAACACGTTGCTAACACACAGACCGCCCAACGAAGACTAAGCGCACGACAACAACTGTCACAGCAGAATAGTGTACGCGCGCGCCGACACAGTCACAGGCCACAGCTGCAGCAGTTCTGGGTGGCCGAGCGTACGCACGAACCAAGCAACGGTGCTAACGAGGGTGGTGAGTGGTGATGTCGCTGCTGTTGAAGATTGAAAAAGTTCATGCGAAGCAGGCCAAACACCAATACAGATGCCGCGCACTGTAAAGACAGCCGGAATGAAGCCCAAATGAGATCGAAATTGAAACATCAACAGCAACTTTGGCGTTGCTCGTACAACGCGTTCGCTACCATGTGCTCTGTTTACGAAATGTCAGTGCCAGCACTCACCCATAGTGTTCTGCGCCTGTATGTATGCATGCGTTCGTATTATTTTTCTCTGAAAGGTGATTTGCTCTCACATCCGTTCCGCTCGGCGTTTCGTTTCACATTTCTTCAATAGAGAATATAGCACGAGTCTCTCGGACGCACGAACAGCTTAATGTCCGGGAAATTCAGTCACTTGCTGGCTCATAACAATGCCAATGCCCTGGTGAGTGTTCGTCTATGCGGAGTTATGTGCTCTCGCATGTCCTGTTTTTCTGTGTCAATTTTTGAGGAGTGCTGAGAGACTTATTTGGACTGGTATTCCAGTTCATTTCGTTCCCTTTTCGAGGCGAAAACGGAAGTTAGTTGTAATTTAAAGTTTTTAGAGCGAAAAAAACTTAACGAAAGTTTAAATTTAATAAAAGAAATTCGAGGCAAAAATATTAAATAAGTTTCTTTGCAGTAAAAAAAATTAAATTTGATATATATTTTTAGTTTGCTAAAAAAAACTTTAACGAAATTTTTATTATGCCAACATTTTTTAAAGTAAAATAAAAATTATCTTGTTCATCTACGTAGGTAGTGGCGAATTCAAGTAAGCTTCCTTCAATGCAACAGGTAAATCTGAGTACTGTTATGTTATGTCTCAATTTATTGATACAAAAATGTATTGCTTGCTTAGACTGCCCAGGTCACTTGGGTATAAAACTGAACCACTTTTGTACAAAATAAATTTAGTTTTTATTGGCACCTTCGTGGTCTCAAGTTACCGGCGTAGAGTAAGAATGACCTTTTTAGCATTCTTGATTTTTGCGAAAAATTGTGCCTACATCAGGCAATCTTTTGAATGAACTTCTTTAATTTTAAGTTTCCACCACCACACCCTTGATTAATTATATACGGTTCTAAAGCACTAAAAATAATTTATGGTAACAAACAATTTTAATTTTAAAAAGTTTAAAAAGTTAATCAACAATAAAAGAGTTATATTATTTGAATATAAAATCGGGCCTTCCGAATGTCAGTACGCAACGTCAGCCACTCGGCTACAGAAATGTTGTTCACAACAGATATGTTAGTAACAGCCTATGTTAAGTGTTTTATGATAAAAGCTATTCATCTAACTGCAGCACCATAACAGCGAAAAGTTAATAACAGCTCTCTGCTAGAGAAATTCGCTCTCCAGTACATTACCTTAACATTCGCTACAGAGATGGATATGTGAGTAAATAGAAATTATACACTGCTGTTATTTAGTAAC